AAAGCTCCTTGCAAGACGGGTTATTTTTTCCATATATATATATATATATATACACACACACACATATACACACAAACACACACAAAGAGTTTATAAAGTGTGTGTGTGTGTGTGTGTGTGTGCGCGCGTGTGTGTGTATAAGGAAGAGTTATATAAAGAGTTTCATCTGGGTGAAGATGGAGGGGACCATCATGGTCCTGCATGCAGCAACACAGGCTGGAGAGGGGGGCTGCGGCTTCATCCTAATAGAAAAGGCCATGCTCATCATCATCATCGTCGTCTGCAGCAAGACTAGGCCATAGGCCACAAGGGGCACGGGGCATTGCTCAAACTGGGGTCTACACGGGGTTGAGCCTGCTCCAGGCCAATGCCAGGGATTTGGTGGACAGCCCTTCAACGTCCCCAGGCGGGACTCGAACTCCCTACCCTCACTCCCCCCCACCCTTTCTCCCCCGCGCGCATGCGCCGACTACTGAGCTGGTCTTTTTGCGCCTTGTAAAGGGATGCTGGTGTTTATGTCCGCCGACGCCGCGCAAACCAGGCCTTGAAGAAAGAAGGAGCGGCGCGCGTGGCGTCATCGCGTACGGCGCGTGACACGTCGGCGGCGGGGGAGCCGGATGTGCCAAGATGGCGGACGTCGGCGCGGCGGAGGGGGGAGGTGGCGGCGGCGGCGGCTGCTGAGGGGCCTGGGCCTTGCCGCGGGGGCCAGGTAACGCGGGGCGGGGAGCGGAGTTGGGGCCGGGCCTGGTAGCGGGGTCTGGGTGCTCCAGCCCAGGCCTGACAGTCCGAGACCCCACCCCCCTTCCCCCCAGGCCGGGCCCGGCTTCCCTCTGCCAGCGAGGCCTGGCGCTCCTGGGGGGCTCTCGGGGACCAGTCCGGGGGCGTAACGCGCTCCATTGGGGCGGCAGCCGCTGGGTGCGTAGGGTAACGTGGCACATCGGGCCTCCTGCAGACACACCAGTGCACCCTGCACGGAAGGCCCTCAGGTTTTGCTCGGCCCACCCTGCGAGTGTGTCTAGGTCGGCCTGTCTTTCAGGGTGGCCGCTTTCCCCTGTAGTTTAGTGTCAGCAGCAAACCTTGCCAGCCCGCAGCCGATTCCCAAATCCATATCGTTAATGAAGATGTTGATGAGTACTGGCCCAAGCCCTGAAGGACACCGCTGATCACGTTGATTCGCTCCCATCAGCTAGTGCTTTTTGGGGCCGACCCCACAGCCAGTTCCCCAGCCATCGGGCCGTGTGATGTCCAAGGCCGCATGCCTTTCCTTACTCGTGTAATGATCACATGCTTAAGGTACAGGACCCGCAGAGGACAGCACAATGCACCCTGATCCTGCAATTTGATCTGTGCAAACGCGCATAGATCTGACTGCAGGATTGGGGCCGAAGATGACAAGCCGAGTTGTGAAGGTGTCGAGAGTGAAAAAGCACGCGACTGTGGGTTTTTTCAAAAGTGTGGAGCGACCAGGTTTCTGGTGCTGTAGGGGGACAACTAGTCTTTCCTGCCCAAGTGCAACAGGGCTGGACCTAGTGATCTTGTAAGGTCCCTTCCAGCCCTGAACATCTATGAACTACACTTTGCACAACAGTGACTGCTTGAAGTTGCGGTCAGTGTTTGCGATCCTGCCTCCTTTGTGTATGTCCAGCGTGATACAGCAGAGATGGTGAGGAAACCTGGGATGTTCCTATCCTCTCCACTAAAACCACAGTTGTTTCTGGGTGGTCTTTTGATAGCTGAAAATACCTCGAAGTACACACCTTGATCTGACCCCGAGACCACCCAATAGACTGCTGATTATGCTTTTGCTTAATTGTGCTGCGTGCACACGTACACACACGTGTGCACACTATTGACCGACTCTAATTTTAACTACCTAATTTGGTTCTCTCACACTCACGCTATTGACCAACTGATTTTTAACTGCCTAATTTAGTTCATGTTGTAGCATCATTGGATGGAGGTACCAAACCGTATTGGGAGGAAGATGTGTGTGTATTCAACACGTTGAAAGTCTTGGGAGAAAGTATCAGTTTTCCCTGACTCACTTTTCACTCCTCTGTGCCAGCATTTATTGATATATTCTACTGTAGTTGTTGCCACAAGCACCACTCAGAACAGATTTTTTTTTCTAGAATTTATCAAGACATGTTACATATTAGAGTAGAATCCTCTTCACAGGTGTAAGAAAGCTATAAAATGAATAAAGTCATGTTAAATTTTATTTAGCCAGCCAGACTTTGGGGTAATTGGTCACCCTGGGTCTTTCACACATCTTTTATCAAAGTCTATGAAGTGTTAAAGTAGTTGCACTGGCTCTAGTTCGGGTGCAAATCCTGGTTTGTTGCATAAATAGCTCTCTGGTGGGATGCCACACATGACATAAAATTAGTTATAAGATTGAAGGTTCATGTTGTTGTAAGTGCTTTGAGTGGGACCTAGGGGTAGTAATCACCCAAAGGAGTTTGAGATGGAAAACATTCCTTGCATAAATCACTGTGCATGGTTTAATAGAGAATTTTTATGAGTAATACGTGTCAGAGAGAAGAGTTTATTCTACCAAAATATTCCTTATGCCAAACTTTTATGAATTAACTGACTTGTGGCTATATGATAACGTTAGCCAGTGCAATTTCTGTTTAGAATTATGTCCGCTATCTATTTGTGCGCCAGAAAAATAAAAGGTAGATGCTTTTGTTTGTTGTAAACAATAACTGAGAGTTAGATGTAGTTGTGATGCCATAGCCCTTGGGATGTATTTTAATATTCAGTCAGTAAGATGAATACATGCATCTGTTCATGGAGCTAAAAGGAAGTGAAGGGGTAGAGGCAACCCTGCAGTACAGTTCTTGAAATTGCATTGCAGTCTCAGGAAAGAGTCTCCTGAACTCAGACTGGAATTATTTTTCAGATTAGGTAACCAGTTCTGTAAACGTATTGTTAGATACTGCTTATTACCTGACCAATCCTATTGATTTTTCTTAGACCCTCGGTTTGACTTTCCTAAAAGGTTTTGGTAAACATTCCAGCTATGGCTTTGATTCCTTACAACTTATGCCTCTCTTTAGCTGTGGGACAAATGTATTAGTGGTACATTGATACTCATGTTTGTTTTGCTCTTCTTCACTTAGGCTTTATTTGATGGGAAAGTTTGTGGGTGGTTTCCCTGCTTTATAACACAAGGTGTGAATTAAACTGATTTTTAGCAGTACAGCTTGCTTCTTGGCTATTCTTATTGCAGTTTAAAGTAGCTTATGTCACTCAAAACATCTTGCTGGGGTTGTTTGACCCGAGTACTCTTTCCTGCCATGGCAGGGGGTCGGACTAGATGATCTACTCAGGTCCCTTCTGACCCTAGAAACTATGAAACTATAAAAGGTGTTTGAGCTAAACCAAAAATCTCACTCCTGCACTTTAAATAAGTGTCAACATGGGAGTGTAACTACTATGGTAATACAACTCTCAACGTACTATTATACTGGTAAAACACAGCCTGTTGGTAAGGCTATTTACCGAGTGTTTCAGTAACCCTTTCTGGGTTCGTCAGGTTAATTTTTGTGGAGCTGCAAGGTTTCTGTACTCCCTAGATGGCTAATATTTTATAGGCAATTGTGCATTATCTTGTAGTAAAAATTTTGAAAAGTAAGTTTCCACCCTAGATAAAGCAACAGTTGAATTAACTTTAAGATTGTATGGATGTTTTGTTTTAAAGAAATAGATTTGTGTCTAATATCAGGATTTTTTTGTAGGGAAAACAATTTTTTTTTTCCAATATGGCTTCTGTTTAAACTACTATAGTGAATGTTAAAGTGTTTGCACTTTTCTACTGTGTGTGATCTGGTCATTAATTTTGATCCAGTGAAGCATGTATTGTCTTGGGCTGACCTAGTTCAGAGTCTAAATCTTTGCTCAGGTGGTTCATGAAAGAAAGCAAAAAACTTAGAAAAATTAGACTGTGTTCACTTCGCAGTAGCTAATTACTGGTCCATATCAGAAAGAACAGTGAAGATGTTAGCCTTTTTTCCCCGCCTTGTGTATTTGATAAAACACTGTGAAGAGCAAAGTCCACATGAGAAATTTGGAAGCCAACACCTGTTTTACAACTGATTTCAGTGCCCAGTTAGGTTTTTTTTTGTGTAAGCCAGAAATAAACATTTTGTTCAAAGAAATTAAGCAGTGGTTTCCACCTGGATTGTCTTGATACGTGCTTTAGCTTGCTGGTTTCTACCTTGCTATGTGTTGCATGATGCTATCTAGTCCTTTTTTTTTCTGTTCTTTGTAATGACATCAAACAATACTGAAGTTGTTAGTTTGGTAAAATAAATGGACGGCTAAGTCCAAAGGGTTTGTTTTCCAAGCATATGGAAGCAGAAGCTGCTGACAAGGCAGCGTTTCTTGGTCATATCCTGGTTGGCACTGGTTGTACCTGGCTGGAAAGCTTTTACCTAGATATCAGGGCAGAGACGCATGATAGTAATATTTAATACTCTCTTTGCAAATGTTCCTTATCAGGGATTAAACAGGAAGGTGTGTTTATAAAAAGACTGTAAAAGGCAAACTAAAGTAATGCCCACAACTAATAAGCCTCTAAAATTAGGCAGCATTTTGCCTAGACATTATTTACCCCCACCCTTACAAAAAGCTGTTTACTTTGACTATAAGTACAGTTTGATTGGCCTTTTGGGCCCCTAACAAGTCTCCAGCCCTTACTTAAATGATTCCTCTTTTAAGAGGAGCTAGGTTACTGTGACTGGGGCTTCCAGGCACTTCAATATTGTGAGTAAATGATCCTGCTGAGCAGAAACCAGGACAGGTTGCGTTGGGAAATCATAAGGGCTTCCCTGGTTCTGGCTTATACTTTGTGCCTTTAAAGCTTTTAATTAGTGGCCTTTACAAAATGTATTCAGCTAGATATTTTTGTAAAGTTTACATTTTGATGAAACCAGAAACCTCTGAAAGAGTAGGTGAATTTAACCCTTTTGGTATTGCTGCTTCCTGCCCCCCTCCTCTTGCTCACCCACCCTATTTAAAAACATTAGTAAATACAGGCAAACAGTCTTAATAATTCTTGATAACAAAGATTGTCATAGAACCTAACATTTTAAAAGGGTTTAAGTGCTAAAATTCTGCACAGCTTTTGGTTGCCTTTTGGATAGATAACTAAAAGTCAAAAATGTCATGGCAGTAGTATGGATTTCCCACCACAATGAGAACTGTACTAATAGCACAAGTCTAGCAAATGAAACCAGTATGTTTTGCCAAAAAATCCCAGAACAGGGCCAATAATAAGGCCTCAAAATTCAGATAAATGACAAATTAAGACTTTTTTACAGTTAAGTATTATAAATGGAAAAAGACCAGGCTTTTACTTACGAAAAATGTTGTTGTGAAACATCCTGTAACTGATACTACTAGATTGAAATGGGGGGTGGAATATTTTCAAAATGGTTAGTAAACAGACATTTCCCTCTGTTCCATATGGGTACACATTTCTGTAGCAATGTAAATAACAAATGCCTTTTAAATGGAAAAACATCATCTCTCTCTCTCTCTCATTATATAAAAACTGGCTCCTTTACACTGAGCTCTCTAGTGAAATCTCACACTGTCAAAACTCCACCAGCAGCTACACCATCATGTTAAGTTTTTATCATAAGTGTGCTGGATTATATATAACGACAAAGATTTTAAGTTTACTTTTTAAAATAAGGGACTTTTAGTAAATATCCTTTGTAAGTACCTGTCAGTGGTAAATGTAGGAAGGACTGTTGTGAATAACATTTTTGCTTGTGTGGCTTTGTTTCTGAAAGTAGCACACTTCTCACTTTACTTGGTGTCTAAGACTCCATTCATCAGATTTCTAATGTTTGAGCACAGCTCAACTAAAATAGTTTCTTCCGAAGTAAGAGAAGATGATGCCATTTCTTACTCTGAACTCTTCCTAGTACCATGCACTGGAGCAGCACCACTACCTGGAGTTAACAGTGGTAGGATTACTAAAGCAGACTGATTATTACCAACATTTTTTAAACAAACATGTCTAATCCTGCTGAGAGCAAGTCTAGAGAACATGAGACCGCTGTTGGAGTTGTTGCAGTGTGAGATTTCACTGGAGAGCTCAATGTAAAGGAACCAGTTTAAACAATGTATGGTATCTGTCTAGAAACAATTCTTTATATTTTTTAACATTGTTTTTAAAAACAAGTTGGCTCTGTGCCACTAGGCAAATTGCCATGCACAAAAATTAATTGGCATTTTGGGAGAAGCATCTCTTTGCTTTGAGGTGTCCTTTTTTTGCAGCAGCAGATCCCTTTCTAAAAGCTTTCAACTCCCTCCTTCCCCCCCACATGTGGTGACTGTATTTTTTTTAAAGTGTTGAATCTGCCTGTTGTGGACTGTGAAACTAACTTGCCTTGTATTTTCTTTTTGCAGTGTGGGGAAGAAAAAAGAATACATCTACAACATCTGTTAGTTCTACAAATAGTGTGTGACCTTGTTGAGAGCTGATCATGCAGCCGCCTCCACAGACCGTGCCAGCGGGAGCTGGGGGACCGCCTCCTGTGGGAACTGCTCGGAATGCGTATTGGCGAAACAGCCCATTCAGCAGGCGGGCAAACGTACCAGTCTCGGCAGCACTTGCCCCAGTACAACCTGTGACGGACCCTTTTGCATTTGGCAGACAAACTCCACAGGGTTCTCCGCTAGGTAATCCATCCAAAGGCAATCCGCTGGTCATGCCAGGTCCTCCTCCCCCAGTGTATCCTCAGCCAGCTGTTATGCACAAAGCTCCTTCTCATGCAGGGGATAATCCACACGAACTGCATGCATCTTTACTGGCACCTGTGTCTCAACCAGGAGTAAATTCTAATACCTTTTCTAATGTGTTGGCTTCATTGCCAGGACATGATTTAAATAGTACTGCAGAAATGCAACCCAATGCAGAATTTGGACTCCATACCCCTTCAGCACTACTGCATTATAGTCCAGGAATGATGCTTGAAAATTCTCTTGGTGGACATGTAGGAGTAGGGCCTGCACCAAACAGGTCTCTAAGTATGCAAGACGTAAATCGAGATCCAAGTAACCCTAGTGCAGTACCTGTTACGACACCATTCTTCCCTTTTGCAGAAACCCCCTCATCTCAGTGGAGACTCGTTCAGGGTAACATTCAGCCTCAAGTTCGGAATTACTTGCCCTGTGCTGAGCCACCTTCTCAGAATGCTGTTCATAGCATTTCTCACCCTTCTGCTGGTGGTTCAAGTTTGCATCTGGCTCCTGGACATCAGCAAAGTACCATGCAAGCTCCTTTGTTGGGTGGCAGTGACAAGAATGGGCAAAGTGGTTCTGCAGGAGGTAACCCCCAAGTGAGCAGCCTTCAGCCTGAAAATATGGTTAGACAGTCTGTAGAAATGACTAACACTTGTCTGGCTCAACCTTACCCTGAGCAGTTTTACCCACAGTCCCTGTTACCAGACTGTGGTTTGGTAAACCCCACCACTCAGGAAAGTAACCTGAAAAACAAGTCTCAAGCTGCATCTGAAACATCCGCTGGACATGCTCCCAGCAATCCAGATTCAGGAACTATCTCCATGTTTTTCAAAGGGGATGAGGCAGAAAATGAAGAAATACTTTCATCAGAAGTAAATGATCTGGCTAGTAAAGCTGACTTTGATGCTTGTCAGCGAAGTTCAGGACTTATGTATCACCCTTCTCTCCCTCCTCAGCAGGTAGTAGCCAATGTTCAGTCTCAGGCATCAGTTAGTACAGGCTCTGCTAATGAGCGTGTACCAAAGGGAATGGATGTCCAATATTTTCTGAGAACTGTGAGCAGCTCGCATGAGGCCCAGACTGGCAAACATTCTGTGCATGTTACAGATAACACAGATGTTAGCAAAGCTCGTGGGAATGTTGCACCACAGTATGAAAATGTCGAGAACCTGGAGTGTGTTCAGAATCAAGAAGTTCTACCGAATGAACCACAGAATAATCCTTTGTCCTCAAGTGTAGGATCTGATCTGTACAGGTATGGATTGCCCCCAGGGCCTTCACTTCCAAAGAATACTATTGTGAGCCATGCAGAAGGAGGACCAAATTTAGAAGCACCTGATTCGTTACCTCATCCCATCCGACCTGACAGCGTATCCTCAAACTACAGCAGTGTTAGCCACAGGAGCATTTCCAGCTCAGCGAGACCTCAAGAGCTCGATGGTACATTCATTCAGCAAGAAAGCGGGAAGCCTGATGAAGAGACATCTGCCAGTTTCTTTAAGCAGATTGACTGCTCCCCTTTGGGAGGAGATGCAAGTGAGCCCAACATAAGCAAGAACTACCACAGAAATCTGTCCCATCCCCCAACTCCAAGTCCCCCCAAGCCCACGGGAATCTTTCAGACAAGTGCAAATAGTTCCTTTGAACCGGTGAGGTCCCATGGGGTTGGGGTGAAGCCTGCAGAGATTGACCAGGCGAAGGTGGTAGGTGAGCTAAGGGAGAACCACCCAAACAAAAAGAACGCCAAGAAAACTGCAGCTCTGACAGCTGCCTCCCCAGGAAATCTCGAACAGCCGCCAGATAATCTGGAAACCCTCTTCATTCCCCAAGCACACCCGCTACCTCTTGTCGTCACAGCAGAGCATGGAAATGTGTTGCAGCCTGTCGTTGGGCCTGGCATGGAAAATGTTCAAGCGGTATCTGAGAAAAGGCCCTCAACAAGAGCTCAGGGAGCAGTTAAGAAGTGTGATAGTCCAGCAACCACTCTGTGGGCTCATAACGAACTGCCCAACTTTGGGGGTAATGTTCTTCTGGCACCTGCTGCTCCGGCAGTATATGTACCTGCCAAACAGACGGTGGAAATTATTCAGCCACCTGAAGAGGGGCTGTCACATCAGCAGCCAAGTAAACCAGGCTCTGTAACCGTGCAGCCTTCCCAGGATGGAAATGTATCCTCTGAGAACTTGGAGAATCCTCCCAAAATGGGAGAAGAGGAAGCACTCCAATCTCAGGCAAGTTCAGGTTATGCAAGTTTGCTGTCTTCTCCACCCACGGAGTCTTTGCAAAATCAGCCTGTCCTGATTGCTCAGCCTAATCAAAGCTATAACTTGGCTCAGCCAATTAATTTTTCCATTTCTCTATCTAATCAGCTAAGGAATGAAAATAATCAGTTGCTGAAAGATCCTGGAGTTGGAGACAAGCCTGTTGCAGGCCTCCAAACTCTGCATGTTGGTGGGATCCTCTCTGGGGAAAATGTGTCATTGCCTGTGGTACAAGCTGGATCTTTAGCTAATGCACCTCCAACTACTACTAATCTGTCAAATGCTAATTTATTACAAAGTCCTAGTAGCGCTTCTGAAATTGCACCTAATCAGTCCACAAGTCTATTGATGCAACTTCCATCTCAGATACCACTTAGTGTAGCTCCAGAAGGTCAAAAGAATGTTAATTCAGAAAGTCTTATTCCAGAATTGGCTAGTATGCCAGGGGCTAATTCATCAGTGCCCCCTGGGACAAGTCTCCCTAGTGGAAATGCAAATGTGTTAGTCCCACCAGCGAATTCCATGGTACCTTCCAGTAATTTTGCAAATCACTCAAATAGTAAAGAAGAAGGTGCTGGAGCACTTGACTTTACAGTAACATGGACACTGGAGAGAAGTAATACAAGTAATTCAGGACAGGTGCAAAACCCGTCTCTGTCTGGTGGTCCAGCATATTCTCAACAACCAGCCAATCACAATAGCCAGGTGGGGCTAGAGAAGCATGACAAACAACAATTTTATCAACAGGTCACGAAAGATGTGCAACATCAGGTTCCATCAGATAGAGCCATGCAGGGCACATTGCCTTCACAACAGCAAATGCAAGCTGCTCCAATGCCACAAGCAGTACCTTCTGGGCACTCTTCTGTTCCTTCAAATTACCAGGTGGCTCCAGGGAGTAAACCCATGCAAGTACCACAGCAGCATGACAATCAGGTACTGAGTAATAGGCACTATCCTCTGGGTCCCCAGGAGGCAAGTTCAACACAGCCACCAGCCAGGCCTGCTCAGCCAAGCTCTGATAAACAACCATTGCCTGTTCCATCATCAAGTGCTTTGACCACGTCAGCAGTTGCTACAACCACCCAGCCAGTCATGCCAGCCACACAGCAAGAGCCACAGTGTCCATTGCCACCACAGACTCCTCAGGATGCCTTTGGTCCACCACAAAACCCTTACTACTATTACAGACATCCTTATGATGCATATCAGCAGCCATATCCACCATCTTACCCCCCTGCGGATCCTAGAGCAGCAGCTCACCTTTATTATTCGGTAAAGTAAAAATGTCCTTACTTTGTGAAGTTTAAATATACATAGCAATTTTGGGGGGGAATGTCAGTTCTGACTTCTAACTCTTTATTGGTATAGCGATCAGCAGAGTAGAACAGTTATTCACTTAGGTTTAACTGTAGAGAAATTCTGAATGTTAGTAACTCAATGCAAGAACTTAAAACTGTAAGAAAGAAGAAAACTTCTGGAAGGATTTTTTTGCAGTTTCATCTGTTAATTTGGTTCCTGTAAAACTAACATGATGCATACCTGATATCAGGAGTATGAAAACCCAAGCTCGTAAAGATAGATCAGAAAAAAGTAATAGATCTGTGCAGTTTAAATGATAAACCTATTTAAAATATGAAATGAACATTAATACTAACTTCTGGAAGTGGCAGTCAACACCTGACAGATTTTGGTGTTTGCCTTTTTGAAAAAGTTGGTAGTTACAGACTTATCCTAGCTCGACAGGTGTCCTGATCATAAAAAATTCCCACCTCCCAGGTGAGAATCAAACAGCAGGAAAGCTGCCTTTCAGTGACAGAACAACCCTGAACTGCAGAGATTTTTTTTCATGCAGGTTTTGGACACTGTTGTCAGATGGCACAGTAGTTGTCTGTATCCTTTGTGGCAAGATGGTATCTATCTCTGAAAATTGAGCTAGCATAGAAGTGAATATATAAGGAGGTTGCAAGGGAAACTGAATGTTTGGGTCAGAGGAAGCCATAGAAAAATGTTCTTTAATCCATGTCAGATCATTTGAACAATTTAACTCACCAGTTGTTAATGTGTAACCCTTTCTTCCCTAGGAGGACATCTATGGACAGTATGACCCCCGCTACAGACACTATGATAGTGGTAGTGCTGCTTATGTGGAGTCTGCGGGCTATCGGTATGCAGAGCCTGAGCGTCCCAGTTCTAGAGCTAGTCACTGCTCTGATAGACCTCCTTCTACGTACGTAATTCTGAGGCTCTATAAAGGTTTAATATGTCCTGACGTACTGAATGGGACTGCAGAATGATCTTTTGTCATGTGCAGTTCACAGTATGTGAGGGCCTAATGGCGTGACATTTTTATTGGCAGTTGTCTGCAACATTTCAATTGATACATGCAATAAAGTGAAATCTAGGCAGCATGAATTGCAAATTGCTTATTGCTTTTAGAGGTTAGCAAGCCAAGTGCCCTGCCAAAAGGACCTCACTACGATTGCTGTATTCTTTACTGCTCCTTCTGCCTTCAGCCGTTCATTTTTGTTGGCAGTCACTGGTGTTATTCCCACTCACTGGGGCTCAACAATACAACCAGTACTGATGTTTTGTTCTGTTTCAGTGCGGACAAATGGAAGAGTGTGCTAGGTACAATTGTCATTAAAGCTTAGCACTTTCAAAATGACACATCTGAGATAACAGGGTTGGTGAATTGAACAAATGGCATTTCTGCTCATAGCTCCTGGGATTTCCTTGCAAACACAGCAGCATGTGTTGCCTGTTGAACCAGTGTTGTCTCTGCTCACCCTTAGCATTTTTGTTTTAACAGATGAATAAATTTAGTCTCTTAGACAATGGTGAAGAGTGGGTGAGTAGACAGTGTTTGGGCTGATACATTTTTCCCATTTTTCTATAAGCACAGCTTTACATCTTGGTCTGTCTGTGTGTTTTGAGCACCTTTTATAAGTGTTAGAGCTGATCTGTAAGACTGAGCAAAATCAATTTTCTTTCTCAACCTTACTCTGACACCTCACTCAAACAAGTTGTGGAGAGTTAGGCTGAATTAGTACAAATAGGTTTCTATTAAATTAGCATACTTTATTTCTCAGGAATTATTACAGCTCAGCCCTGGCTCAGAGCAGTCCGTTAAGATCAAGCAGAAACGTTTTCTCATGACACAGTGGGTGTCTTAACTGCCAGAACCGCCATTGCAAATCTACTCACTGATAGCCACCTTGACAAGGTCTTATCTGATCAGATTTACTTCTGCACCAGTGGATGCTATGTCTGCACAAGCTCCCCAAGCACTGCTCTGCTAATGTCCCACACTTGACATACCCAGCTGTTCACTGAGTGTACAGTGCCAGGTGTGTGACGTGCCCATAGGGTAAACTAGTGCTTACAAACCTTGTGACATAATTCCCATCTTACGAAGTGAAAAGATCCAGTTGTGGCTCCCACTCTATTCCTCCCCCTCTTCCCAGAGAACTTGTTTTGGTCAGAGAGTGTTGTCAAATGTTGTCCTTGAGGCCTGATTCCCAAAATTTCCACAAAAGACACCAATAAAAGGACACAGTTTTAAAGATAATAATCACATCCCACATTTTCCCTTCAAGTCGGATGACTCCTATAACTGCCTAAGACATTGTACTTATAACAGTCTATTCAGGCATGTTCTCATAACTAAAAGCATCCTTTTTTTTGTTGTTGTTGTTTTTAAAGTCCAATTCTTGTTTTAATAGGTGGTGTTGTCCCTGCATGCCGTCTGTCCATACTACAGGCACTCTCACTTGGGCTCTGTATAGGGCACCATTTTTTCATGCTACTTAACCTTTTATGTTGTTCACTAAGAAACACATCTTTCATGGTGCATCGCTACTGTGTCCCCCTCCTTGGTGGACTCAAGAGCACAGAGCTACTTGCAGGATGATTCATTCCATATACCCTATAATACAGTTATAGCTCAGTGCTATCTGTTCTTCCCACTAAAGTATTAAATATAGAAGGATGCCCAATGCTCACTATGTTGACACAGCAATTGAAAAGCTGAGGTTGAAAGAGATGAGGTGTTGAGTGAGTGCAGACTGATGGGGATTATATACGGATACTCCAGAGGGCAACACCAGTACTATCAGTCTCCCACTCAGCATAAGCATCAGCTGCAGGAAGAGCATGATGTTAGTGTAATGTCAAGATACTTGAATAGATGAGAGTAACTTTTTGGTTTACCTTCCTCCTCACTGTGCACTTGCTGATAGTGAAAGCTTTGGAATGATAGTCTTGCAGACTGAAACCTTTTGTTGGCTCACATCTTGTGCAGTGGTGGTTGCTTTGTTACAGTCCTGTAACATTCCTGATCCCAGGTGATAGGAAATTCTTCTAGAAATGGGAGAAGAGACATGTCAGTGCCCAATAAGTTCCTGGCTTCTGTACTGAGACTGTTCAATAAGGATGTCAGTTGTAGCAACAGTGTTTTTGATCAATTGCCCATAAGTAATGGAACTGATCACCAAATTATTTGGCATAAGCCACAAGTGTATTATATGGCAGCAAGTTTCAGTCAGTGATGGCACAGAACAGCTGAAATTAATGACATCTCTGTATAGAGTCTCTTGGTCCCTGAGCCTTACATTTCCTCTGACAGCAATTTTTTTTATTTTTTAAGCTTTACCTGTAGATAATCCACTGACATTAGCTGTGCATATCCTCTGCCAGGTTCAAGAGCAGCCATTATGCCTAATTTAATCCTGGTAATTTATGACCCAAATTTCTTCCTCTTTCAGGCAGGGATATAAAGAAGATTATTATAATACAAAGAGTGGATGGAATGATTACTATGCAGACTATTATGCAAACCCATATGATTATGGAGGTAATGTTGGACAATTAATTGTGCATTTCTTTATAAAATAGCTGCTTCAGAAAAAATGTCTCTGGGAAATGTGTTTAAAATTAGTGTCCATTTTAGTATTCTAAAACTAAAATTTCTGCTTCCAAAAAAGCCCCAACTGTTGTATGGTCCCCACAGGTAATTAGAATAAAGTTTTACTTACTGAAAGCTAATCTAGATTACATTTGTCCTTGATGCTCTGCTCTCCTCTCTGCATTTGTCGGTTCAGGAGCTGGAAGAAGAGGGAGTTAAGTTGAGTCCACTTTGGATTCCCTGCTTGACTATTTTCCTCGCTGCCAGGCCGTCCTTTTGCCTTTTTTCATTACGGTGATAAATGGTAGATGTAGAGAAAGGAGTGTTTGTTATAGGAGTATGCTGCACATTCTATCGCTGTACGTGCTTATGCCTCAGCCTATGCTCCAGAGGTAAAATCTTGGCAGAAAAGCAATGGACTGTAAAGCCGAAATTGATGGAACCCCTTGGGAGACGCTCTACACCAATATACCCTGCAAGAGATCCCATATAGTTTTGTTGAATAGTTTTATTGTAATATCATGATAAAGCCTTGAAAAGATAGAAAAGATCTGCTGAATTGTGGAAGTCATCCTTTCAGGTATCTCCTTAATTCTGATCAGTTATCTAATTATCATCCTTTGGCCAAAATTTTCACCATATTATAAAATGGATATCACACCTTTCTTCCCCCAGCCAGATGAGATGAAATAAACTAAGACAAAAACAATGAGTAAAAATATTTACAATAAAAAATAGTATTTTTTTTAAATGTTATCTTAAGATGTTTTTAATTTGGCTTTCTCCAATGTTACTAAAGCAGAGGGTTGGATTTTTAAAGAGGGGGGAACTAGGAAATACTTTGGACAGCTGACTTGGTAATTAAGATGATTATTTTGATCTTTTAAAGATCCAAATCGCTGGGACCCTTATTCATCAGCCTATGATCCTAGATACAGAGATCCCAGGAATTATGACCAAAGATATTGGTATGATGCTGAACACAACCTATACCAGAAGAGAGAAGTGTATCCATACAGTAATAGGTTTGTAATCCCTGCCTTTTATTTGCAGACTTTAAGAGATTATAGTAGAATTTACCAAAATGTTTAATTGCCTGGAGGCCTTGCAAGTTGCAAGCTATTCTGTAAAACTCCTTTGTAGACTTTTAAACAACAAAACAATGGAAGAGAAACTAACATGTTCTAGACAGGGAAATAAATAGTGTGACTGATTTATTATAATAATTTATAAAGTAAAAGAGAGATTTCTCAAATGGTCATTGCCAGTGTGCATGTTTCCTTCACAGAGAAAATTATTAAGGGAAATTAAGTGAATTGGGAAAGAGCCAGTCTCAAAGGTTGAATTCAGGAAAAAAGTTTTGTTTTGGCCAGATGCTTAAACAACACATGGTCTTGAAATGGAAATTAAAACTTGGAGATGTTCCATGTTAAATTTTTGTTGAATAGGAATTCTAGTGGGATGTTGGTCTTGACGTTTGAATTTCCAGAATGCCTTTGCGAAGGTACTTTTATGAAGTCACATTTGCTACAGTCTTCAGTACTTAAATTCATGGATGAGTCCCAATTCTTAAACAGTGTTCATTGCTGAATGGAAAGGAATTTCCAAGGAAGTGGGTTCTTCTCAGGGGGCAGGCTCCCTGCTTTATTTTGGTCTTTTTGTTGTTCTGGAGGCAAGAACAGTATGAAGATCATTGGCGATATGATCCTCGCTTTACTGGGAGTTTTGATGATGAAAATGAACCTCGTAGGGACCCTTATGGTGACGAATTTGACAGGCGCAGTGTCCACAGCGAGCATTCTTCCCACAGCCTGCACAGTTCCCGCAGCGTTCACAGCCGTCACAGCAGCTTCAGCTCTCGCTCTCAGCAAGTGAGTTTTAAATGAGTACATCAGGCATTGACTTTTCCTCTGTTCAACTTGTTGATGCTGGTGCTGGGAGCAGGGTTTTCTGACAGGTTATTATAGCAGTAGTACAACTGTAGATTAAAAGTTAGCAAAAAATGAAGCGCACAGAAAAATATTTATCTTCTAAGCAACAAAGACATCTTCTGAAAGATCACACTGAGTGGTTTGACTAAGTAACTACTTCCTTGTGAAGCCACAATATTCTCTTGACCCTAATGGGATCTAGCTTGGGACTAGCTCACTGAGTCGTGTTTAGAACTGGAATTAAATTTGTGCTCTGTGTAACATGAGCATGCAGGAAGAAATTGTCCCTGCTTTGAAGGGCATTTGCTCTTGAGGCTTGATTCTGCAGTTTGCTGCCCGTAAGAGCTCTGCTGCCTCAGTTGAAATGCAGGGGAAGAGATGCAGTTTCATTTGTTACGCTACATGATTCTTCTTGCAGCTTTTTGCAGTCCAAGGGAAGTCCTTTGCCAGGTAGTATTAACCAAATGTAAGGAACCCCTAGAGATTTAAAGTGGGAAATGAAAAGGCCATAGAATCATTGGTCAGTTTGCTGTATCTCTCAGTCCATGTGACTTTAATGCAGTGTGTATTAAATATGTTCCATTTAGAGCCAGCTTTATAGAAGCAACAATGATCTGACAGCTAATGCGTTCGAAGCTACCACCCAGCCAGTCTCACTCCACACAGATTATCCATATGGAGGATATGCTACTACTTTTGATGGTCAACAGACTTTTACAGATTATGGCTACTCGGGTGAAACTGGATGGCCAGCTGTAGAACAAGGTACCTAGCTAATTTTAACAGCCTCTTTGTGTTTCATGTGTATGTTCTAATTATGAACCAGAACTACTGTAAACTGAATAAATGGCTCGGTAACTTTAAGTCGCCAAAATAACTGCCACTTGATTTGACTGTTCTCTCCACTACAGTCCCATCTAGACCTTTGACACCTGAGAAATTTTCAGTGCCTCATACCTGTGCGAGGTTTGGTCCTGGGGGTCATCTAATAAAAGTGTTGCCAAACCTGCCTTCAGAAGGACAACCGGCTTTGGTGGAAATACACAGCATGGAGGTAAGACGGAAGTACCACTCAGATCCAAATGTGTTCTTTCTTTCCAGAGGAAGGAAAGGGAGCTTAATTTGCAATAGGAATGTCCTTCTATTGTATGTGCAGTAGTACGTAGAAAAATAATAGCTGATTTTTTTTTTTCTGTTGTATAATTTTGTCTTTTTTTTTTCCCTTGGAGATTTCTTTGTGTAAGCAGTTGGCTTACAAGTGGCTTTGAGGCCCTCCTCTAGTAAGAGACCTTGTAGGCACAACATAAGGATCTTGCTGCTCTTCTCACAGTGGCATTTGCTGCTTTAAAACTGCATTCAGAAGAGGTTTCTGAATCCTAGGAAAGTTGGAATCTTGTTGCTTTGTTTTCTTTGTTCCATGCATGTTGCCATTGACTGAAACATCTGCATCTCGGTCCCTTTCTCTGCAGGAGCTGTTTTGCTGTCTTAATGAAGGGGAATTAAATATCCCATGTGTGTTTCCATTTCTTTTGGGACTCCATTGTTTTCCAAAGGGATTTTGATCAGCATCAGAGGGGAAGAGAACTGCAAGGGCAGCTTGTATGGGAAAAGATGACAACTCAAGGCTAAAATATCAGCAAGCAGGAGGTGGGGGTGGAGGGATGTAATGATCTGCAGGCATTAGAATTGTATAAAGAACAGGGAGGCAGAGGAATGCTGTACATCACAAAGAATAAGAAAAGGAATATTTGGGCGGAATACCAAGGATAACACCTCATGAGTTCTTTTGCTGTGGAACAGTTTCTAATGGAAAGTAGGGCTTCAGGCATTTAAACAGGCCTTAATCAAGATATCGTAGGAGTCTGTGCTGTCCGGGAGTGATGGAGTGGATGGCACTATAGGTTGCCTCTCTAAATTTGTTTTGATTCACTGTTTAGAGAGTGAATTACAAATAATGAAATAAAATAACGATATGTTTTTCATCTTATTTTTATGATTTGTGTGTGTTTCTAGACAATGTTGCAACATTCTCCAGAACAAGAAGAGATGAGAGCATTTCCTGGCCCTCTTGCTAAGTATGTCTGATAGATTGATGGTTTCATTTTCCTTTGCACTTTTAAAAAGCTAGAAATGATGAGATTTAAATTGGCTGTAAATCACTTGTTAGCTTCCATATGCTAAAGTGTTGAGGGAGCTTTGACTATACTCTCTTCCACCCTCTGTTTATTGCAGTGATGATTTCTGATGTCTGATATTTGTCATCTCATTGCATATTTATCTTCCTTTTCCAGAGAGGACACCCATAAAGTGGATGTCATTAATTTTGCACAAAACAAAGCCACACAGTGTTTTCAGAATGATAATCTAATTGACAAAGAGTCTGCAAGTCTGCTTTGGGAGTTTATTGTACTGCTGTGCAGACAGAATGGGGTATGTCTTATTCTCAAGTCTTTTAGCTAAACAATATTAACATGTGGTTAATCCGTTTATGTAACAGCAGCATTCGTACACGAGGGGTGGTTACTGCTGGAATAGTGTGGAGACTTGCCAGGGAGATAGCAAACCAGTTGCCTGCAGGTGCTACTCTAATCTTGCCTCTCAAAGTGCTAGGTAAAAGGCAGTGTAGCTAATGAGTCTTTATCTGTACAGTCCCCTGGGACGTGCCTTGCTTGGCCCATCTAATTTTCTGTGTTTTAACCTTCAAGTGCCTCAAATATAAAAGAGTGTAGTAATTCGTTTGAAATGCCTTTAAAATATTGAATGTGTTTTTTCTTTTAGACTGTGGTAGGGACAGACATTGCAGAACTTTTGCTACGCGATCATAAAACTGTGTGGCTTCCTGGGAAATCACCCAATGAAGCAAACTTGATTGACTTCACTAATGAGGCTTTGGAGCAAGCGGAAGAAGAATCTGGTGAAGCTCAAATCTCGTATCTCACTGATAGTCTTATAACAGCAATTGACGGTATTGAAAGAGAGACGGAGAGATTCAGGGAGCTGCTGCTTTATGGTCGTAAGAAGGTGAATGTTTACATTCTTGTGTTTGGTTCATTAGTTTCTCCAAAAATGCCTATCCCCAAAACTTGAGGCACTTACATATAAGTTCTATGTCACGTAACAAATGAAAATGTAAAAAATATGGTTCACACATTCACGGTGTCATTGCCTGTTTGCCACCATATAGTCCAGCTAAAGATATGTTTTGTGTCCCAGAGTTCGCAGTTTAAAAGCTATATTATTTTGGAACATATAAACGTTTGACTTAGTGTTTTCTGTTTGCTTATAAGATACCTTCTAAGTATTTCAGTGTGTTTAAATTCGTTCCCCAGCAAACTGATTGATTGTCTTTGTATGCTCTCCACCCAAATAGGATGCATTGGAGTCTGCCATGAAGCATGGTTTATGGGGACATGCTTTGCTACTTGCCAGTAAAATGGACAGTAGAACACATGCAAGAGTCATGACCAGGTAGTAAGTTTTGTGTGGGTGGTTAGTATGGTATGGACTAACCCTTTATTTTCCTTGAATGAAGTTAGACCTGCATGCCACTGTTCTTGTGCCATGGCTGCAAAAGCATTATGGTTTAGTTATGTTGTCCACTAACTGAATTTAGTTAGGGCATGTTGCAGTTTTAATTTGCTCTTCCGAGGCTTAAAATTAAGACCGCCTAATTTCAGTGTGTGGATCATTAAAAGCTACTCAGTGCCACAGCTTTCGTGTTAAATTTCCCCTGCCTACATCTTAAACCGTATTTATACATGGACTTGCTAGCTGAGCCACCTATAAAGCTTTCATAGAATTGTTCAAAATTAAACAACAGGCATAAATGAAAACAGGCAGAGGAAATAGTTTGTAAGCTAGTTGCTCTTGAGAAGTTAAAAATACATGCTTGCGCACTGTGGAGATCATTGTTAGCCACCTGAAGCAATTAAAAAAAAAAAAAAAAAACAACCTACTGTCTTGCCTGCTTTGGGGAGTTAAAGACCCTCTTTTTTCTGTTGAAGAGGAAAGCAGCTGTATTCAAACAAATTCTGTCTCTAGATATGACAGTGTGCTCTTGTCTCCCACAGCTTGTTAACCCGTATATTCCACCTCCTGTCTGCTGTCCCTAGGAGCAAGAGGGTTGAGGTTGTTCTTGGACTGGGATTTGCAGACAGTGGAACCATAGCTCAAATCCATTTACTCAAATTCTGTTTTAAAAATGATTCCCCCAGGCAGTTACCTATTTCAGTGCATTATTTTGCTACTGCATATACCTTTCTCAAAGCTGAACTCAATACAAAAAGCTTACTTGTTTTAATTGCCTACCTGGTATTGCTTATCTGACATTTTTTATTTTTGTCTTGTGTACTGAACTTTGTAGATTTGCCAACAGTCTCCCAATTAATGATCCTCTGCAGACTGTTTACCAGCTCATGTCTGGAAGAATGCCAGCTGCATCCACAGTGAGTTTTAAGAATAAGATGCAATTAAGAATTGTACTTGTTTGTGTTATGAGCTGTCTCATGCTGTACATTAGCAACATGCTTTGTGTATGTGCTTATATCTAGAATGCAGGATTAGTTGCTCCTTACTCAGTCCTTACTCAGGTTGAAATTCTTATTCACGCGCTCTGCCAGTCTCAGCCTTGACGGGTATCTGTTCTAATTCTAGTGCTGTGGTGATGAGAAGTGGGGAGACTGGAGGCCTCATCTTGCCATGGTACTATCCAATTTGACCAATAACATGGATTTGGAATCGAGGACTATCAGCACTATGGGTGATACTCTGGGTAACTAATTTAAAGTAGAAGCTATGGAGACTAGAATAGGGGTGGCTAATGGAAGAGGTTTTTTTAAACTTAAGTGGCTGTTTTTGTTATGAACGAAAACAGTTGATGCCCTTAAAGTTCAACTTCTTTGCTTCTGTAGATTTTTTTTTGTCTCGTTGGGGATAAATATGGATTATGAATAACCCAAACAGCGCAAGGTGCTATGAATGACATATGCACCACTTAAGATTAAATTTCTTAAACAATCCGTTGTATTTTATTTCAGCTTCCAAAGGCCTGTTAGATGCTGCACATTTTTGCTACATGATGGCCCAGGTTGGATTTGGAGTTTATACAAAGAAAACAACAAAGATTGTCCTAATTGGATCAAATCATAGGTTTGAATTTTGATTACATGTCTAATTAAAAAATAATGAAGGTGAAAGTGAAACCTAAGGGTTGGAGACTTAAGGGTAATGCTCTACAGTATCACTAACCGCAGCTGCTTGTCAGATCGCTAAACTAACATCCTTCCTGCTTTATTTTAAAGCGCAACAGTTACTGATACTCTGCGTCTGAAACATCTTATGACCAATTTTAGATGCATTGGATGTATCCCAATACAGAGTGGGGGCAGCGGTAGATCAGTTTAGGTGTCACTCTGGTTTCAGAGACGTGGGTTTGAGCCTTGCTCCACATGTAGGCCAGAAATTGCCTCAAGTTGACCAAGCTGTATGTGACTACCTGGTCATTCGGTCTGGGAAGTCCAAGGTGATGTTAACCCCATGACTGTATGTCATTGCCTGGAGCAACTGGCTTGTCTTAGCCATGCTTGATGATAGATCAGTGAGCTTGGGAAGACCTCTGTCCTTTTTTTTGATCACCTTTACAAATATATTAAATAGAAGCCTTCATCTTCAAGGCATTTAATTATTTTTTCTCCCTATTTTCTAATAGCTTGCCATTTTTCAAGTTTGCCACTAATGAAGCCATTCAAAGAACAGAAGCCTATGAATATGCACAGTCGCTTGGTACCCAGCCTGGCAGCTTACCCAATTTCCAGGTGAAGAGCTGTTCTGTTTCTTGTTTAGTATCCCTTTTTGTTGAGAGGTAATCTTTCTTCTGTGACTGGTCTAGCATTCACATGTATGCTTTAGCCAGTTCCAAGTGGGTCTTGTCTCTCCTAAACTTCCTCTCCAAATCCTCATTGTTTAAAATATTGGAAGGTTATTTTTGCAGCATAAACTATTCTAACTCTGAAACAAGTAAATGTTTTTTACATCACATACACTGCAACTATGAATTGTTGCTTTCTTTTTGGTATCCAAGCAGATGTAGATTTTTAAGGTGATTTAGTGTGCTTTTTGTGGGGTTGTGTCTTAATGATCACAAAATCCGTTTTTACTTCCTTTTAATGGTAATGTTATGAAATCCAGACTTCTAGAATGTAAAGGTAATTATCTGAATTTAGGGATTTAAAGAAAAAAACTAGCAGGATTTATTTTGACTTTCTTGATGTACAGCTTGTTACCCCATGGCAACTTGAGTGGGGGAAACTTTTGACTAGTATTCATGTTAAATCTGGACTACATGTGATAACAGGTCATTTGAGTTTGGGGCTGAAGGGTCAAATTGCCCCTTAGGTTCTGGGCCTGTGAATATAATTTTACCTTCTCATTCTGCAGGTTTTCAAATTCATCTATGCTTGTCGACTAGCTGAGTTGGGACTTGCTGCACAAGCTTTCCATTATTGTGAAGTGATTTCCAAAACTGTTCTTAGAGATCCCCAGTACTATTCACCTGTGCTTATCAACCAGCTTGTTCAGGTATGTGTATGAGTGCTTCTCGGAATTAAGCCCTCATGGCTTAATATGTCATGAGCCAGGACGTATAGCTTAGAAACCTCTAAAATCGCTGGTTCTATTGACTTCCTGACTAGCAACCATCATTTTTGTAATGTTTTATTTTGACAGGTATCATCGCAGTTGCGCCTGTTTGACCCTCAGATCAAGGAGAAACCAGAGCAGGAAACGTTTATTGAACCTACTTGGTTAGTACGACTTCGACACTTGGATGGACAGATCAAGGTATGGAACCAATTTTTTCTAGGATTTGACACTTGCCTTCAGATTATTACGGACCTTCTTCATAAAATAATGGCTTTTTATATAAATGTGCAAGTAATATACAAGATGTGTTTGTGTGAGGCAAGGTGTGCCTATACATCTTGATTGCAGTAATGAGGTTGATTTGGAATTAATTACTTTTCACGTTTGCGAAAAAGCAGTTGCTTCACTGCTCGTTTCTGAATTGTAAATGGAAAATTTGAATTGAAAAGTCCTGATTTTTTTTTCCTTTGCCTCCAAGAAACTAACAAATAGTCTGTGTTCTTTTTGTTAGGATTTTCCCATCATGGGTTATGATTTGTAACATCTGGTGTTTTTCTTTTTCTTTCTTTTTATTAAAGGAGGGTGTAATAGCTTACAGTGCAGATAGATCCACCCCTCAGCAATATGCCTCTAGCACACCAAGCTCTGAGTTGGACCATATCAGCCAGTGTGATGGAGCAGGAGCTACACCAGACATGGGTCCTGGTACTGAAAACCAGTTGCTAGCATCCTTGTTACCGAATATGGTCCAGCCCATGCAAAGTGTACAGCTGATGCCTTCAGGTAAGTATTTTGAATCACTCTCATTGTCATCAAAGGGCAAAAAGGAAACTGGTCTCCAACTTTGAAAAATCATTTAAAACAAAAAACTAACTGGGTTTTATTTGTGAAATATATATGGTTTTTCATCATTAGGACTAAAGTTTATACAGCATTAGAAGTCAGGGTACTACTTTACCAGTAAATGCCAGTTTTTTTCTGATTGCACATGAATGGATATAAGGATTTTGTTCTTGCTCATAAATGAGCCTATATATTGTGCTGTGCCCCCAATTTATCTTCCCCAAGGAGAAGAGAAACAGTAAAAAACATTGGAAATGTGAGCTGGGAGAGCATTGTCTTGGCTTTTTCACAAGAACTTGGATTTAAGTGTGCTAGACAGCTCCTGGCTCTCCAGTCTTTTGCTTAAGTCATGTCTCTTTCCATTCAGTTACAAGTAACTTCTTCAAACTTTGTACTGCAGCACCTCACACAATTCTTGATGGATCATCTACAATGATGCCACCTCCTCCACAGCAAGATCCTGGTGGTACTGTTCCTTTATATCTTGTGGCCCCTCCTTCAGTTGGTCCAGGGTCTAGCTTTGCACCTCCAGGCTTTCCACATCAATATGGAGTGGCACAGCCACCACTCTACCTGAACCCTGCAGTGCCGCCGGGAGGGCCACCACCTCTAACAGCTGATGCCCGGCCAGAAGAACAGATAAGCCAAGAAACAGGTTTGGTCTCAAATGTCATCCCTGTCCTTAAGGAGACTGAAGTCTTTCAGGCAGTAGAATACAGTGTATCTTGGTACTTGAAATGGTGAAATGTCAAGGGAGATCATAAAGGTGAAGAAGCCTCTTTAATAAGAACTAAACAGTATTGGTCTTGGATGCTAGGTTTGACTTGGTCATGACATGAAATTAGTAAAACCCCACACCAGTCTGCCTAGTTTCTACTGAAGGCTCATTGGTCAGAATACATCCTAATGTAATACAGTTGGCATTACTACTGGAGAGGCGCATAACTAAAATTACAGGAGGGCCTGTGATTCAAATTGGAGGCAATTTTAGTACAGTGGAAAGTCTAGAACTCATGGCAGAGCATGCTGTGTGTCAAAACTGAGGCATAGAGAGGATCTTGCATAGAGCCTTTGGTACTGCATAGATTTTCAGCTGGTTTTGATCCTCCACATGGACCAAAACCCAGTAACTCCATGCAGACTCCAGTCCATGCAGCCCCTGGATATTCATATTATTTTAAAGCACCAAGTTCTCTGCATAACCACTGAGAACTTGGACTTCTTTTTTGTTTTTAAAAGAATACTTAAAATGGCTAACACGTTCTGTTGTTGTTTTTTCAAGCAATGCAGAGGCTTCCCCAGGGATCTCCAAGTCGAAAGAATTTCCCGGAGGAAAGAGAGGATGATTTCTATGGCAAAATGGCTAGCATGGTATTTCTGTCTCCTCCATCTTTAATGCAGCTGACAGTGGTGAAAAATTGTGTGCAAACGTAGGACTTGCTATTTGCCAGCACTTTAAAATACTAAATGCAGCATGTGTATGTTTCTTCAGACTGAAGAAAAAGCATGAGAAATTGGACATGATCTATTTGTTGTATCCATATTCGGAATGTTGTAAGAAAGCAAGACTTATTGCTTTGTGGTCTTTAAACTGCTTGCCCCATCACTTGTTCTTGCTTCTTTCAGACCAGAAGGTTGGTCCTGAAAGAGCTGTAGGATACTTCAGTGACTAAGAGAACTTGGAGAGGGAAACTGACCCTGCTTTGCAAAATTAACACGTTTAGAAGCTGGCCATAAGAAGCTGTCTCTTTCTCCTGCACAGCAGTTATATTCAGTATTAAATGCCACTGAAATTGGGCATCCCTTTGAGCAAACAATTTAGTCTTCTGAGGTGACAATTGCTTGAGGCAGAATTAGCATAAACATTGCTTAACATGGAAGCATTTGCCCACTGCTGAAGGATTCAGATGTTGTAACCACTTGTTAAGCAGTTGTACAAATAGACTCTCAGGTGTTAATCAAAATTGTTAAATAAGGAGCCAAAGAACTGAAGACCCAAGAAAAAATGTAGCAAGCCTTACTATTCAGGTGGGGGGTTTCTGTGGACTTTCATTTTTTAGTTTTCCATGACCCTCTTTTGATTGATAGCTGTCTGAGCTGTTGATGACTCTAGGCAATGAAATGCCCTAATTTCACAACGTCCGTCATAGATAGGTCACACTGCTGTGTAATCGTGTAGTTAGGTTAAAGGTTTCTTTTACTTGTACACTGGACCTAAACACAAAAGCAGTGATATACTTGAATAACTAAGGCTGATCCATCCCATATTGTGTGGAAGCACTTAATTAAAATGGGAAAAGGTGGGAATGTACTATTTGCTGTTTTTAGTTGCTTGCTTAGTAAGCACGTGCTGGCTTTGTATTTAACCAGGCACCAGGACGAAGATCCAGATCTACCTCCCAGTCTTCAGCACACATGGTATGCCACATCCTGGCTGCTTCTTTCACTGAATCTTTATTCTTGTCTACATTTCACCTGCTTCTGATGACTTGGCATCTCTCTTTTTTCATTGCTGACTTTTTTTTTTCTTTTCAAAGAAGGAATTTACTTGTGCAAAATTAAACCTTGTTTGAAAAGTTAATAGCGAGAAGATTTAAATTGCTGCCTGTTGGTAATGCAGGGCTACGGGCGGAGATCACGAACCACTTCCGAGTCCTCCACCCATTCAGTAGGACGAGAGAGATCTAATTCAGCAGTAAAGCAGCCCTCTCCTCCTCCCCCATCCATTCCTGAAGGGAAGGAGACCAAGAAAGACAACAAGAAGGAGGTGGCATCTAGAAAGGTAAATTGCACTGAATATGCGGTTACAACAGCCAGTGATGACCGTCAGCTAAGACACGTGGTTTCCCTAAGCTGGGAGATGGAAGGCTGCCTTGCTGAGTTGTTGCTAGACTATATGTCATCTTCATTTATATGTTAACTTCTTAGCCAAAACTCTGACACGTGCACAGTGCTGTTAGTTATGTACTTGTATAGGCACTGAAGCATTGCTTCACTGCTTTCTTAATCTCTTCTGGGGCCAGTTCAAAATTGCCTTGTCTGAATTTATAATCCCCAGTGGATTTAGTCCAGGCATTCTCTGAGACCTTATCCTACTCCCCTCCCTAATCTGTCTGCTTCACTGACATTGGTCTCCTGTCCTTGCATACAATTCTGTCTACTGGGGAGAGCTTCCCCTTACAGCTTCTCCCATCTGGCTGAGCCTTCTTGTATCCCTCTGCCTCATTAAAACTCACAATTTCAGACATCACCTGAAAGCAGCTTTTCTCTCTTCCTTATACACCTTGAGTTTTTTATTTAATTCTAAGCAAAACCATTTTGGAATAAGCTTAAATGAAAAGACACTAATGCATTGGAATTGTTGTATGAAGTGATTTTTAACTCGGCTGCAAGTGGCCTTTTGGAGAACGACACTAAAAAGACTTGTATTTATTTTTAGAGTGGTGCAAATTGGTTTCGATGGCTGATGGGAAAAGGAAAGAATGAAGCTCACCTTCCAGACGATAAGAACAAATCAGTAAGGGTCCTAAACCACAGCACACATCGCACATGTGAATTTGCTAAAATCATTTTCTAGTGCACTGGTTACATTTTGCTTGGCAACATGTAAACAAATACGTGACTCATAAATGTCCTCAGTGATGAGTTAATTCTGAAATGGCTTTTAAAAAAATGACTTGAAATGGCTTGCTGCTTAGCTGGTTGTGTGACCTATGTGTTCTACTGACCAAGATCTGTGATTTCTTCATAGATCGTTTGGGATGAAAAGAAGCAGCGCTGGGTCAATTTAGATGAGCCAGAAGAAGAGGTAAAGATCTGAGGAAATTCTGGTTTGTTAAATGGATGATGATAATTTATGGGGGGGGTGTTGGTTGTAGCCGTGTTGGTCTAAAGACATAGGCAGACAAGATTCTTTGGGTAAATGTCATCTCTTTGATTAGTTTGTTTAGGTAGTGTAATAAAAGAGATCACATTTACCCAAAAAACCTTGTCTGCCTAATGATCATATAAATGCTTCAGAAGTTAATAGGAACTATAGACAGTGGCTAGGAATCGCCTTTTGTTAGATTGCCTTGCATTACAATATAGTATCTGCAGCTGAAGTGGCTTTTCTGCCTTCAGTTACTGGTGAGAACTGGCTGACTGGAGTGAGCTTTAAAAGTGGAATTACTCTGACTTTACATAAGTGTATCTGAAGACTATAATCTGGCTTTTTGTATAGAAGCTGATATCTAGACTAGTATTTCCCACCTGGTTGATCACCTGGTATGATGCAGTATAGCTTGAAACATGGGAGGGGAGAATGAGTCTTAGGAAACTGAAAAATTCAGAGTCTAAAGCAAAGAAGATTTGCCCTGTGTATAATCTCACCCACTGAGGTCAACTGTTTTCTGTTGGTTTCTTGTAACATACGTTGTGTAGGCTTAGAACTGTTACAACCAGTGCATATTTTACTCTAACATTTACTATAAAATGTATTGAAAACATCAGCATTAAACACTGCTCTTCAGCATGCCATTAATTTTGTGTTTCTTGCCTGCAGAGCAAGCCACCACCTCCACCGCCAACAGGCTTTCCTAAAGTTCCCCAGGCAGCTCCACCTGGACCTGGGGGTCCACCCGGTGCCTCAGTCAACATGTTCTCCAGAAGAGCAGGTAAGAACACAGCAATAGGTGGCTTTCTTTTCTATAGAGAGGAAGGTTTTAAGATTTTTCCTTAAAACAAGTGTGTCAGCCCTTTGGGAGACTGCTTTTCTCAGGAAGCACCTGGCAGCTCAGTTGTATCATGGAGCTGTGTATACTAGGTGTCACCATGGCAATCACTGCTAGTGTTGTGTGCTGTGTCTTGGGAATTCACCATCCCAGCTCTTGGGTCTGTTCTTTCTTGGTCTTGGAAGATGCTCTAACCAGAAAACAGCCTGTCTTAATTTTAAACTGCTAATGCAGAATGTTTCATTGCCATGTTTATATTTTGCTGTTCAGCAGGAAGCAGAGCTCGTTATGTGGATGTTCTAAATCCAAGTGGAGCAAAATCAAGCAGCGCTGTTCCTGCCCCGTCAGACCTGTTTGCCCCATTGGCACCCATGCCTATCCCTGCAAACCTGTTTGTACCAAACTCAGGTGTGTAAGCCAAAAGTGGATAAATTGCAGTGAGATAGCAGACAAGCTTCCTTTAAGATGCCTATGTGTCATAGTCTGAGTCTAAGAAATATTAATTCCTCTTATTATCTGTTCTGAATTTTAAAAGACAGGGAGGTCCATATCAGCTTAGACTCTGCAAAAACTGCTGCAGTTCCATAAACAGCCTCTTGTAGAAAATCTGTAGTAAGCAGGGTTCTGTGATCTGTTACGAGATCATTAGGACTGAGAAGCAGGGGCATATAGTAATGAAAGGGAATAATTCCACCACCTGCACCATAAACAGAACAGTGCTTTTAAACAATAATATTATGCAGTAGGTCTTCAGTTTAATAGGAAGTGAGAGGCTGTACTAGAACCCTCAGGAGCCCTAAGAAAGCAGTGCAAGCTGCATGCATTCTTATGTAGATAATAAGTTGTTTTGCGTCCCTCAGTTTGATTTTTGCTAGACGTTATTCTTTAACCATTGAAGCGTTCACATTTCACTAATTGCTGCCTGTCAGATCACATTTTTTTTTCTCACCTGCTGCTTTCTGGCCAAGGCTGTCTATTTTAGACTTTAAAAGCATATTTGGTTGCTACAGATCCTCTGCTTAATGTGTTTATACTTTTTTTTAGAGGTTCCCTACCTAAATATATTAATTTCTTATATGCAGCTAGCTTTAATATAAATAGCTGCACACATGCTCCCTGGGCCAGACTAGCAACCAGCTCTGAGGGGATACTGAGGAAATAATTCTTCTGATATGTCTTCACTTTGAAGATGATCAGATCAGTGTAACTTTAAGTGAGTTTTACATGCATCTCCTGTAGTTCCAGAGGAACCCCAGCCTATAGAAGGGAGTGGGGCAGTCGAGCAGACACCAGCTACAAATCAAGCTAACACTGATGCTGCTGCAGCTGCAGAGCCACAGGTAGGTTGGTAAGGCTGCAGACTATTCGGTGCCTCCCCCTACAGCTTTAATTGACAAACCAAGTATACTGCACTTGCGGTTTTCTAGCAGCAAAACCTACACACTGTTCCTGTGCACAGGCTTAATCCCTTGTGACAGAAAAGGAGAGAGAAAGGAAAGCAGAAGGGTGATGAGTAAAGACCAAAAAAAGAAAAATCTTAGCAGGTTTAGGTTCTTTACCTGGCACTGGGTGCAGGCATTGTGAGCATGGCGTTTGCTGGATAAGGACTCCAGCCTTTTGGTTTTTCCTGCTGCATGCAATTAGCTATGCCACTGGTCTGGTACCTTATGGTTGCTGAATCAGGTGACAGGCTCCATTTATAGAGAGCAGTCATGTCTTTCCAATGCTCTAGTACCCTTTATCTGGTTCATGTCCTTCACTGTTCTGTTTAATCAAAGCACATCAACTGTATTTGAAATTCATTGAGTACTGAGGCAGGAGTCATTTCCTCAAGCATCACTATTTTTGGCCTTGCAACATAAAATATTACAATGCCAATATCTTATCAAGGAACTAGAGTATTTTGTCTAGATCTGCAACTTCATAGGATGCAAATGATGGCCGTTTGGTGAGACTTGTTAAATCCAGGCGCTGACAACATGCTGTCACATTGGCACATGGAAGAGAATATCCTCCAAGTGTTTCCCATAATACCAAGGAGTCCTCACTATTTAGTTCTTACCCATAACAGTTGTCATTCTACTTGAACGCTTTTGGCTCCTATACATTTCCAAAATGCTATTTTAACTCCCCTGATGTGTATAGTAAAATGTTACTGTTAGAAAAATTTGAGTATAGCCCCGAGTAGGACAGTGCCCGCAAGCTCCCCATAATACAGAATTTGAGAGCCCTTGTAGCAGTTAGGCACATCAGGCATGTTACGTCAGTGCTTTGTGTACTTCAGTGCTTATTTGCTTCAGAGTGGTTAATGTATGCACGAAGGAAATCATCATTCTGGTGCTAATCTACATATGATCTTCCTGATTTTAAATGGAGATCTGCAAGGTTGCATTTGATTTGGGTTTTTTTTGTTTTACATTTACAGTATTTAAATTCTGCCATGCTTCCTCCTGGTTCTGAACTCCCTGCATCCAATCCAGATGGCTCTCAGTCAGGCGAGGTAAGGTTTGATTCAAAGCAGATGCCTAATGACTTTGTATGGTATGTTTAACCATTAGGCTGTAGAGGCCTTAGCAGGCATAATCTAAAACAGCAATTAACTGTATCGATTGTTGACTAGCTGAGATGGAAACTTAGTGACTGCATCCAGAAATGGAAGTGCTAGAGGCCAAAGTTCAAGTTAAGTGTCATCACTGTGGCGAGAACACCTTTTCCACGTCGGTTTTTTGAAAGGCCCTTCTAAGAGTGAAGTGTGAAGTTAAACATTTGTAGGGTCTCTCTTTGCCTCTGTGCGTGCATTTAATGTCACTAATATTAAATGCAAAATACACAAAGAAGAGAATAGACCACTGTGTGCCAGGCGGGATAACATGACATTTTGTTCCTACTAAATGTTTTCTGTATCTACATAATTTCATGCTTTAAAAAAATCCTTTTTGATTTTAAACTAACTACTGGCTTTTTTTTTTTTTAACATGAAGTTGGTTTAACCTTTGGCAGAACAAAACTTATAATTAAAATGAAACTGAAAGCTTGGGGCAGTGACTTGCATGACGATTTTATTTGTGTTTTTGTATGTGTGTGTTCTTGCTGTTTTGTAGCTTTCGCGCTCTAGTTCAATGAGTTCATTATCACGTGAAGTAAGCCAGCATTTTAATCAGGTACATGTGGCTGGCCGTTCTCACTTGCGTTAACCCCCCCACCTTTTTAATTTGCTTTTGCTCAGTTCCTTACTAATGCTGCTTTCAAGTCATCGTCTTCTTTTTCTCCATATCACAGAAATAACATTAAGAGAGTAACCAATGATGCAGTGTTCCTTTTAACACTCAAACAGGGTCTTTAAAGATTCACGCTTACCAAAGACAATGCACAGAATCTAGGCATCCTTTTATTTTTCTTTCCAAGTAATTCACCTGGGGATTTTGATCAACTGTGTCCCAAGATAGCAAAGAAGCCAGTTGCTTTAAAAAAAAACAAAAAAAAAAAACAACCCCCCTACCTCCCCCAAAACAACCAGACCGAAAAAGAAAAACCTCACTAGGCTGCAGCGACTCTCAAAATCTTAGTGGTAACATTGCCCATTTCATCAGCGAACAGTCCCTGTAGGAATTAAAGGAATGCTTCATCTCTGCTGTGAGTTTCAGTACTCTGGGTCATGGTAAAGGGCTGACAGAATCTTTTTCTGGTGCTTAACTAAAGCAGAATAGTTATTGCAGATGGTGTGTATATTTTTTGGGGAGGCTGAAAGTCTACTAACAAAAACAGAAGATACTAATTCAGTAAAGTTGCACTGGTGTGTTTGTTTTTGGTTTTTGCATGCTTTCGATATTGAGAGCTGTTGACAGTTTGTGCATGTGATATTGTTTTGCTAATACTTACTTTAAGCAAGTATTTTTTAAAAAAATGCAAAATGTGTCAGCACTTTTTGCAATGGTATTAAAATCTGCTGCTCTGTATCTATTAGATATTCCTGTGAAATATATTTTTTTGTACAAGTAAGCAATTCAAGCTTGGGAGAGGTGGTACAGTTCTGTTGTTTTGCATAGCACATTAACTTACTAATCTGTTTTCTAGCCTCTCAGTGGCGTACCACCATCAGGGGGACCTCCCACTGGCACTGTTCAGTTCTACAACCCTTCTCATTTTGCACATGTGAGTAAAATCCTTCCGTTGCTGCCTGGGTTTATTGACTGCAAAAGTAAAGTAACCTAGCTAAATATTACCTATATAGCTGTCAATCGCAGTGAACCTCCTTTCCTTTGGGTAACTGCCTTCCCAAGTCTGCTTTCAAAAAGTGCTTCAGCATGGCCAGAAATACCAGCTGCCTCTTTTTTTATCATGCCTGTGCTCCTTCTGTTCTGCCTTTGCTTTCCGCCTCTTACACAGCCTCTCTTTTCATTCCTACTGACGTCGCTCATCTCTTCCACACCACCTTTTGAGTCCTGTCTACCCTTCTCCATCTTTCAGGTCCCCATCTACACATCTCCTACTGATTCCACAGCACTGGCTCATTTAACCTACTATGCATTTTCTGGCATGTTTCCCTTTGTTTGGCCTGTCTCCATAGTGTTTGGACACATGGTGAGATCAAATCACTGAGCTTGTTTTTAGGCTGTGTTCCTACCTCGCAGCAGGAGTATTGTGGTGGCCATGCAACAGGGCCCCTCTCTCCCATCCTGGTCATCACTTGCACTGGGCAGAATCAAGCTAGGTGTTGGAATAGGCTTTTAAAATACACGACACGGCATTTTAATGCTAATGTCATTTGACAGGCGCATCATCTGCCTTGTAGAAGTCATAGCAGATCTTGTACTTAAGCAGTCTGCTGTGTGGTAACATGGCTGTTTTAATCCTGCATGTCATATTCAGGTACAGACCAATCCAGTTCCTGTTTAAGTCGTTTGAAATTGGATCAGTGCCTTAAGCCTGTTATGTCCAAAGCAAATTGGTTCTTTACCTTGGAGAGAAAAAATACTAGTCAGATTTTTTTCAGGGGCTGTACGTTCAGTAGATAAGGGGGCGGTTAAGTTACTTGGTGGTTTGTTGTTTATTTTTCTCTTTAAATCTTTCAGTCTCCTGCAGCCACTGGAAGTTCAAGGATGGGAAGAATTGGACAGAGAAAATACCCAACGTTGAAATAGACGATGGCGGAGTGTTTGGAACACTTTCGTGCTAGTTTTGGGTATACAAAGACCAGCTCAAATTTTATGGCACGTGGTTATCAGTACTATCTTGCAAGTGATATGACAGTAATTTAATGCTGGCTGATTGCTTTTAATGGGTCTTCCTACTTGCAGCTCACCTACGTGAATCATTACCAAGCAAGGGTTTTAAAAAAAAAAAAAAAAAAGCCTTCAAAGATGATTAGGTCTTTCTTTCCACTGGGGGTGAAAAGGTGGACAGGGACAAGAAACAGTTACTGTCTGTTACAAAAACCATCTCTATACTGCATACACAGTTCTCCATTGAGGGGATGCCTCCTTCCCAATGGAGGACACGCCCACACATTAACACCCAACTTGGGCCTGAAAAGGACTGGGCACAATTTAATATATGGGAAACTATACTGGTGTTTGTCAGTATATGACGGTTAAAGACACATCTGAGAAATGCCTCACATGCAATTTTTTTGGGAGACGGGGCCACAGCTCATCCAAATAAATTGACCTATATTGAATGAAAACTGTGACTGTAATAAATCTAAAATGAATCTGATCTGGATCTTATCTAGTATGTATGTAGTTTGTGTTTTAGACTACTTGTAAAACAAATTGTATATTCTGAAAGAAGCTCTCTGTATAATAGCCAACGCTGTACTATTTCTGACGAGTGAGTGAGTGTTCTTTTTAAGTGCAATATGGTTACTTGCTTTCTCTCAAACTCTTGGCACCATATAATTAAGGTGGTAACAGCTTGAAAGTTGTTGAAAAATGTTCTTGTTGAGTGCCAGAATCCTCTGTTCTTCAACTAAACTAACTAAGGTCTTAAATAGTTAACAGATGAATCTCAAACCATACTAAATTAGGTGAACTAGGTCTCTCTGCCAGTGGACTTGAAGAAAAGCTTTAGGTTTTAATATAGAAAATTCTGAAAACTATTGAGGTGCGAACACGAATTGTGAAAAGGCAAAATGATCCACCCAGAGAAAATACACTTGAACATATTTATTGAATCATTAGGTCACATTTTCTTTAGGATTTGCCAAGGAAGCTGATTAATGTTTGCAGTTCTGCCCACAACTAGAAATAATGTAAATGTGGAATTGCTGATGTCGTCCCTTTTTGTTTTTTCTTTCCTCGGGTAATGTGACCACCTTTCTAAAATCTGGACAGCCTTAAATATGTTCCAAAGGGATTATATATGGTATTGAGGTGTGTTGTTTGGAAGAATTCGTAACCTCCCGATGACTGTCCACGCTCTAAATCCTTGAGTCGGGCAGCAGCGATCGATATGTTGTTTTGTTTTTTTTCTCTCCTAACTCAAAAGCCCTGTTCAGCTACTTGGCTTCCTCCAGTTCAGCCGTGCTGCTGACACATCTTTCAGTAGAGACTGCCAAGTATCTTAATTCAAAGAACGCTTCCTCTGAGCTGGGAGCTGCTATCTTTCCTAAGTGTTAGATTTGACACTGTAAATTCTTAAATAAAATATTTTGCGCTCTGGAGCACTTTCACACTTTACTACTTCCTGTGGTTCTTGCTTAGCCGGGGGGCTGGCCCGTGAAACGCTTTCTTGTACGAGGAAACCTCCCTGCAGCACCCAGTCTCTGCTCCCGAGGCCTCTCCTGCACAAAACTACTGCTCGGGCTGCGGGCCAGGGTGTCCAGGTGGGGACCCAGCAGGGTGCATGGGTGCGCTTGCATCTCCCTTTGCTTCCTGTTCCACCCACCTGCGTGCCAGCTGCATTTGCTGCGGAGAAACGGAGATGGAAGCATTGGATTCGGTGGTGGCTCATGGACCTGCTCCCTTCTCCTTTGCAAGCTTTCGGGTACGAGCGCCCGGCAAGAGATGGGATTGACCCAAAGAACCCCATCTGCCATTGTCCTTCACCCAATGTGGGGGGCAACCACCATGTCAGCCCCCTGTGTGGCTGGTGGGTACGCTGCGCTGGACGTCCCCCCCCTTGCCCTGCTCCTGCCCTGGGAGCTCCCAGCCCCGCACAGGGTTTTGAGCTCATCCCGATGCACTTGAGTTTGCCTTCGCTTCCGGCTCGGCCTGAACCACGCAGCCGTGAGCCCTCCGCAACTGTCCTGCCAGAGCCCGCTGCTGCCCCTCCCCGCCCGGGGGGGGGGTGTCGCCTGGTTGCTAGGGGCGGGCCTACTCCGGTTACTAGGGGCAGGTCAGACCTACTCCGGTTGCTAAGGACGGGCGTACTCCGGTTGCTGGGGGCGGGCCAGACCTACACTGGTTGCTAGGGGCGGGCCCACTCCGGTTGCTAGGGGCGGATCAGACCTACACCGGTTGCTCGTGCCAAGCCAGGCCTACCCCGGTTGCTAGGGGCGGGGCGGGCCTACTCCGGTTGCTAGGCCCGAGCCGGGCCTGCTCGGGGCCGCGGAGGCCGTCGGGCCCGCAGCGGTGAGCGGGAGCCCGCGGCGCCCGGGTGTTT